GAGGTCAGCCAGTGCAGTGGCTCGTTGGTCTTGCTAAGTTTGGGGTTTTCATCTGAAAGCAGTGACAATTCATTGCAGAATTTTGGGCAGAGGATACAAAATCATATGCGTGGTTTTTAAAAGCTCTCTCTGGCCTCGGTCCAATCCCGTTGGAAACCTCTTACCTTTGGCAAGCTCCTTATTTCATGAAACAACAGCTCTAGCAAGGTTTGCATGCGGGTTTAATATTTGCTTTGTTTGTCTTTCCACCCTCCAGGATGCCCAAAAGGGTTCTCTGGGAGCAACTGCAAAAGGAAATGTAACTGTGCCCACAACGGCCATTGCCACAGGGTGTATGGCGCCTGCATGTGTGAGCCAGGGTGCTGTGGGAGGTTTTGTCATCTGAGTAAGTCACAGACACTACCTTTTCTCTCTGCGTGAAGCAAGGAAGCTCAGAAAACTACCAAAAATACATTAGTGTCAACCTAAAGACAGACACCCAGTGTAAGAGCTGTGAGTTTAAGTTTTATTCAGGGTCTTGCTGAGACTTTAGCCCAGGAGACAGCCACTCAGTTAGCGCTGAGGAAACTGCTCCGAAAAGAGAGGGGAAAAGCCAGTTTATTTATCTATATTTCAGTCCTCCCGTGCACATGTCTTTTAATTTTAGGGTTGTCTTAATTGGCACCACAACTGTTGTATGATGTTTATACATTATCCTTTATGTAAGATAAAATGCCTTATATATTATTAAAGAGTGAGTGCAGTCACACACTTACTGTATTATTCATCCTGAGTCCCCCACCCCCGGGTGCACTGTTGGCGGGCAACCACCAGGGGGTTAGGGCTTCACCCTCGTGGAACTGGGTGGTGAGCAACACATCTCTGTTCTTCATTGTTCACACTACATGAAGGGAAAGAGTAGAAAGCATAACGTATTTTATATGGTCATATCATACATGACAGTTGATGTTCTAGTCTTTATTTAGCTTCCTTCCATTGCAAGAATCTGTATTTTCATGAATAAAAGAAAAATGTTTCTGGAGTCTTCCTATTTTTTCCTAGTTAGTGTTCACCTTAACTATTGAGAGAGGATTGTTAATAGTTCATTTATGTGAACATCCAACACTTAAGGAATTTGAATATCAAAGGCCAAGACAAGTATATTTTATTTCTTGTGCAGAACAATATCATTCCCTGAAATTTCTAAAATAAACTCTTCACTATGCATTTTGACCAGTTATCACATTTTGTAAAAGATGTGAGAAAACACAATCACCAGCAAATATTTCAGCCCATCAGTAACTTTTAAACTGTCTCCCAATGGGACAGCTCTGGATGTCCACCAGCCGTCTCACCTTGAAGCTGCACCTCGCTCCCCTATCTGTTCCATGTGCCCTCTTCTGAAAATCCTTCCTGAGTGACCCTAAGTAATACCATGACCCACTTTTAATAACAGAAACCTTTTGAGTCTTATATGTAACTCACTCTGTCCCTGGCAACTGAGACAAGGATCTCCCTCCATGGTGGCATCATAACCACCATGTTCAATTATCTCTGCTAATAACAGCAGATATTAACAGATGCTCATAATTTCCATCCATCAGAAAGTCAAGTGGCTTATTTTGTTCTCTCCAAGCAGCTTTCCACAGTAATGCATATATAGGCATATAATACAGTTGCCTTGAGCCTGGAGGGCACTTGAAGGATCTTTTATTTGAGTCCCTTGGATACCTGTAATCGGAGGTGGGGGCGGATTATGTTTTGGAAAGGGAATTGAATTACTGTAGGTAACTCCTCATAGAGAAAACTAAGGGTAAGTTTTCCTGAATGCAAAGGTGGGACTTTGTCAAATTAGAATTCCTGTGCTGACTACCATCCCTAAAACTCAAAATAAAGGAAGAAAAGCCAAGTACCATTTGCCAAAGATGTGGCCAAGATAATGCTTCTGTCAGGGTGAAAGTTCTGTGTTATCTACATGATGTAAAATTAATTTGGATTACCATATAATGAGAGGGAATGAAAACAGTGGCGAGCCTTCTCATCAGGGCTTGTCCATCATCGCTTTGCTGTAGCAGGATGAATATGGGGTCTGACAGGCCTTAGCAGTCCTTGGAGAATATTAACTACAGGCACCAATGGAGCAGATTGAGAAGCAATTTCTCTCCCAGAAGCACCAAAGCCTTTTAAGTAGTTCAGGCTTCACTGTTCACATCCAGTTGCCAAAAATCAAATGAATTGCCTGATTTGAAAGACATTTGTTTCCCTATTTTTTTTTTTTTTGGCAGTCAGGATGATCCCCTTGTTTTCCCCGTAATCAGCCCCCGCAGAACTACGTGCCTGTGCACTCACAGTGTGAAAGAAACAAAGCATGGTTTTCAGGTGACCGGTTTGCCTCCACCTGCTTGCAGGCTGTCCCAACGGGGCCTACGGAGCTGGCCGCTCTTCTGAATGTCAGTGTGTGGAGGAGAATACCCTGGAAAGCAGTGCCAAAAATGGCAGTTGCACCTGCAAATCTGGTTACCAAGGCAACAGATGCCAGAAAGGTAGAATCTGATGATAAATTTTCTTTCTTCTCTAATAACAATGCTCAGCTTTTGTTTCGCACCATATGATCACTAATTAGTTAATCCACCAGGGTCCTCAGGAGATCAGTAAGCTTTATTAGTTCCCTATTTGTTGGTGAGGAAACTGAGACACAGGGCAATAAAGTTATTTAACCTTGTCTTCTCAGCCTCTGCTGTTAGCTGTCTGCTTGCTGGCTTGAGCAAAAGAATAAAGATCATGTTGCAGAGAATCTTATTCTCAGATGAGAGCTGGCCGATCACTCATTCAAGTTGAGCCAATCAACTAAGGGCTGCCAGCTTCCAGAGTTGAAGACTAGTTTTCTTTACATCTAAAGATAGATTATTCAAACAAATATAATAGAAACCATAGAAAATTTTGGAAAATTTAAATATGGTTGTCAATATGGTCCTTTCTCAAATTTCCAGATATTACATAAAGAATTTCTTTATAATTCTACAAATATAAAAGTTTATGTGCAGCATAATTCCAAGGATAAGTGTCTTGTATAGATACACGTGTGTGGGTGTGTGTAAAATTTGGGAAAAAGGATTCCAAGGTGTTAGTAGTTTGTGGACTCATGGTATGTGGACACATGGAGTGCTTCTCTCCATGTATTTATGTGGCTCTTCTCATTTTCTCAAAAAGTCTTACATTACCTTTTCACTGAATCTTGTCAGCACCATCCTACTTAAAATTTCAACTTGCAGGTCTCCTTGAACTTTTTATTTTTCCAAAATGCTTACCACCTTCTGACATACCGTACACTCTAATTATTATCTACAATACGTATTGCCTGCCCTTCCTGTTGGAAGCCAAGTTCCAACAAGGGAAGGATAGCTATTCACTTTTTTCACCACGATATCCCCAAGCTCCCAGAACAAGCAGGACATATAGAAGTGGTTCAATATGTATTTTCTTAAATGAATATATAAATGTGTATCTTCCATGTTTATCCTTTATGCGTTTTTTTCATGTTATCATACATTCTGAATTAAGCTCTTGTTACCATTTTCTTTAGGGGAAATTATCACACCTTTTTTTTCTCTTTAATACATAGCAAGACTGAACATAGAACAAATAAAATGAACATATCCAATGGCAGGTGAATTTTTTGCCTTTGAAGTGATCCAGAGCACTCTTGTTTAAAATCAGGAGATAATAGGTTTGAAAGGAAGTCATAACATGGTTGGGTCCACTTACAGAGGCAGGGACTGGGATGGGAGATTGTTCTTGGCTCTCGGCTGTTACACGTTGCTGTTCACCTGGTCATCTTCAGAGAGTCAGCGAGGCTTGTCCAGGCTGACTGAAAGGCAGTGAGAATCTCCCAGATTGTCCTGTGGCATGGAACTGGCTATGGAATTGGAGTGTGTGAGCAGGAATGTCCATCGGGGTTCATGGAGAGGGGGCCATTTAGGTAGCTGGATTGTGACTTTCTAGGCAATGGGGAAGAGAACTTGGGGAAACAGAAGCCTGACATTTCAGGGAAGTGTTTAATGTGGTATGAGAGTGCGTCCTATTCCAATATCTAAATCTCCTCCCACTTCAACTGATATTTAAGCCTAGAGTCAACCCCTTATGTATTCCCCTACTAGAGATGTCATGCCCTGGAAGTCAACGCATGAGGAGATAATACCGTATACACACACCTGGGTAAATTTAATTTATTCTGATAACATTTTCTTAAAGCATCTGCTGAATATACTGTATTGGAAAATGCTTCTGAGATGCCCACTGTGAAGGAAAATGAGTTGAAAGTGTATGTAAATCAGCAAAATAGAGAGGTCACCATAATCTCAGGAAAACATATTATTTTTCAATCAGATAACTTTGTCCAATTCTAATATTTTTGTCTAACCACAAAATGAAATTATGAATCAGACTGGAGCAGGTGAATGGGATCGCCGTGATTGGCAGCTGCAATCAAGGCAAGGTGCGCTCTCTGAGAGCTGTGTGTGATGAGAATCAGGTCTGTTGTTTTTCTCTCTCTTTGTCAAAAGAGTGATGTAGCCCAAGTGCTCCTGGAGCCAGGCATATCTTTAAAAACCTTGACTTCAGCCCTGTGTCTAGATTGCAGATGAATAGTTAATTAAAGACTGCAAATGGTTTCAATGGCACTAATGAACAGCGCTCTCCACAATCAGCACCAGGCCTCGCGTAGCCCATCAGTGATGACTTTTAAGAGCAGAAGAGCTGGTTCCTACACTAATCTGTGAAACAGCAAAAAAGAGAAAGAGGGAAAAATTTAAAACAACAACAGCAAGCAGTGTCTGCCTTGTTTTGATTAGTTTGTAGCCTGAGGTATTTTGGACCCCAGCTGTAGGCAGACCGAGTGCGGCCCAGCAGGGCTCTTGAGTCCGTCTGAGGGGGCCTATTCAACCTGTCATTATGAAAAGGACAGATTTTGTTCCAGTAGTTATGAACTTTAAATTTTGAACACTGGCAAGTCTCTGAGAACCGGTTAATTGACTTGAAAAGTGCTGAGTAAGTACTGTAGCATAAGTTGGGTTTAGCGGCTGAGAGCACCAGTTTCAGAGGCCAGATCTGAATTCAAATTCTGACTTTGCTATATGTTAGCTCTGTGACCCAGAATAAGTCACTTAACCCCTCGGAGCCTCAGTTTCTTACCTAAATGGAGACAAAGTTGCTTATGTCATATAGTGATTGTTATGGAAATGAGAACTGATGTATGTAAACTGTTTGACACAGAGTAAGTGAACAACAGATCATAGCCAGGAATGGTATGAACATCCCAGAAAATTCAATAATCCTGTTATTCAGAGACTTGGCCCTGGACAAGAGGATACTTTGCAGCCCAACATGGTTTAACATAACTTTCCATAATTGTTGCATGTTTAGGAAAGTTTCACAGATTTAGCTGTGTTGAAAAGCATGCTTTCCACCAGGTTTCTAATGCCAGGCATTTCAGTGGAGGCAGAGAGCTCTAAATGAGCCCTCAGTGGTCCCTGCAGCATAAGCCATCCTTTTCCAGTTCAAAGGATATTCAGCAAAGCAGCACAAGTCCCTCTTTCTCCACTGCATACATCGTACAGTCTGTACAGTCTTACAAAACACACAAATTACAAACCTCTAGGGCGATGATTCTGGCTTACAAAATAAGTGAAGACCGAGAGAATAGGATTCAGGAAACCATTTGGGGACAAATTCCCAAGCACTGCACCTCCCGAGCTTCCTTTACAAATTACACCTCATTTCAGATTTTGTTCTGTGGAACTGCCTCCAAAGATATATATCAAAATCGCTTCCATTGTTACTGTCTGAAAAACCACATTTTCAGCAAAAAGCCAACCTCTGTATCTGTGTTTCCAAAGTGACAAGATATGGCATCATGTTGATTTCTTCAGGGAGTATTTTTGGAAGTGCTATAAATCCTTAGAGGCTACTCTGAATGCTTCTTTCTTTGCGGTTCAATCATCCACACATGCACTCACACACACACTCACACGCATACACATGCACACTTTTCCAACTCACTCAGGCAACAGCCGAAATCTGGGACCATCTTGAGATTTATTACAAGTCTTAGCTCCTTTCTTTTTCTCTCTTTTTATTTTACAAGCCTGTCCTGATGGCCTCTGGGGACCAGAGTGCCAGTTCTCCTGTGGACCCTGTGATCATGGAGGTCAGAGAAAAAAAAAAAACTGGAAACTGCAACTATCTTCCCCATTACACAGGAAAAGCCTGTACCGTACGTAAGTCATTAACCTAGACAAAATGACCCACGAAGTCATTGAGGTTGTTAGTTTTATAAATGCTTATTTGTAACTGCTGTATGAGCTGTGATGTTAGTTGGGTACACGTTTTAACTGTCTTTTGTTGTGTAACAAACCATCCCAACACTTTGTAACAAATCATCCGAACAATGATTTATGATGATTATTTTTTTGATTCTGTGGATTTATAAGATGGTTTTCCTTCTGGTCTCACCTGGAGTCACTAGTGGCTGCTTCCAGCTAGTAGATCAGCTGGGGCTTCTTAACCAGAGGAATCTGGCCTTTCCTGTACATAGCGTTTCTACAAGGTTAGGTTGGGCTTCCTCATAGCATGGCAGATTCAAGACAAACATCCAAGAAACAGCATCCCCAAAGTGGGAAAACAGAAGCTACAATGTGTCAAAAAGTTTACCTTCAGAAGCCACACATAATTACCTCGGCCACATTGTAGTGCTTAAAGCAAGTCATAGGACAGCCAGATTCAAGGGCAGGTGAAACAGATCTACCTCCTGATGAGTCACAAAATCTCTGCAGAAGATCTGTCAGCTGGGAGATATGATTGTAGCCATCTTTGGAACCAACTGATCATAGCATACAACTCAAAGTTTTACTGAAAGGCACTATAAGAATTTGCTAGACTGTATTTAATCATTCTTGTCAGGGTGGGAGCAGATTATAGACTGATAAAAAGTTACGAGTTAAACTGAATGTGTTTCAGAATGCCAGTAGAACTATGACCTTTTACGTTTGTGACTCTTACATAATCTGTCAACCCTGCCCACGTCGCCTTCTCTACTCCATCAGTGGTGGGACAGAGTTAACTCGAAAACTTGAGGAAAGCGGTGGCTGGATGGTAAGAATGGTATCTTTTTTTTTTACATTACTATTTCAAATGTTTGACAAAGGTTAGCAAAAGTCTATTATTTGAATTGTCTCTGATGTTATGAGGTGTGAACGGTGATCTGAATTAGCTTCAGTGCTTAGGACTTCCTAAAAACCAACAAGCAAATAAAACCAGAAACTTAAATGCGTGAATATAGAATGTAGCACCAGGACAATATTAGCACTTGGCTAATCATCTGATCATTGGGGAAAATGCATTACTGCCCCTCAGGAAAACCCTCAAGCAACAGTGGTAGGACAAGGTCGTTGCCTGACGATTTTTCTGGATGTAACGAGATTGTCTGTGCTTTAGGACTGTCATTCTGTGCTGTTGACAAGCCTCTCAAACAGGATAAAGTTTGCTGGTGCAGCAGTTGGCTATCCCTAACCTACTTGTTTGCTTTTTTTTTTAAAAAAAAAAAGCTTAAAGGTAAAAATTTACATATTCAAAAGGTAGTTACTTGCTATTTCCACAGTGAAGTGACATTTTTCTCTTGTCTAACTCAACTTTAATGGAATAATTTATTAAGCAGGTAGTGATATATCTGTTCCAATTGATATAAATAGACTATTTAGAAACAAGTGAAAAGAAAGACAAACTGCTCATTCTTCAAAATATTAATTTTAATAGTTACATTATAACTCTCTTTCCTTCTAGGACTTCAAACCCCAGGAGAATATTCCATCATAATCCTGAGAGATTTGGGATGACAATTCTAATTTTATTGGCAACCTGATACATGAGATAATGTATTGAGTTGGGTAGGCAAAAATATTCCCCAGCTCCTAGTCCAGTTTAATTTTAGTGTTACATGCTATTATCTGATTTTGCACACACAGATACAAACACAAATTATATAATTATCATAATAGGATATTTAGGGAAATGAATGGAAGCAAATGATGGGACTCATTAAAAATGCTTCATGTGTGCTCCACAAGGGATGTGTGTGGCATTTAAAAAGGGGCTTACGTTTGAAGAAAGCATACAACATTTCTCTAAATACCCTGTAATGGTGCTTACAGAATTTTCAAACCTAGTTACTCTGCATAATGAACTGTAAAAATACTTATGGGCTATACCAGGTAATATGTTTTAGAGGCAGGAGAGACCAAAAAGCTATTTCTAAAAATAATGGCTTTATAGAAATTCCGATTTTTAGAAGTTATAAATACAAATACTAGGGCAAAATAAGTTTTTTAAAGGGTTTTATTTCACTGTGTGAGAAAACCCTCAGAATTATGGTAGATTGTATTTTTTCTTTCTGCTTCCTAAACAGCATTGAGGTTGGGGGCAGCTGTGGTGCACAGACACTTGTACTCCTGATGAGAATGTACCATCTCTGTGAAGGTTTAGCCTCGTGTATTGGGCTTCTTACCAAATAATCTCAGAAGTGATCCCAGCTTTTTCTTTATCCCAGCCTTATTTATAAGAGTAAAAATACTGAATAGAAATAATGTAAATATGCACCAGGAGGAGAATGAGTAAACAAATCCTGTAACACATCAGTGGACTATTCCGATGTCATTAAGATTCATGTTTTTGGAAGAATGTGTAATGTCAGGAGAATTGACATTAAATTGACATTAGATGTTTTATATAGAGAATGGTCCAACTCCGCAAAAACCTGTACCCACGTATGTATGTGGGAAATCATGGTAGAAAGGACCGCAGTTATCCAGATGGTGGGACTGTGAGTGAATATTTTCTCCGCTTTACAGTTCTGTCTTTCCCATAGGTACTCCTTTACTGTTTTTCCCCTTTACAATCAGGGGAGAAACTACGTCATCTTCAGACCGATCATTCACTAAATATCTAAGTAAGGTAATAGTTTGTTCTTAAGGTGTCTCGTGGTCTTAACAGTTCCCATGTAGTCAAGATGTTTTTTTCTTCAAATTGATCTTGTTGCTCTTTTAATTTAAGACTGTTTTCTCCCACTTCAGATGATGTGGATTTTGAGCATAGCTTGGCAGCACCTCTAAAATACTTTAAAACATTAATAAATGAAAGAACATAGTAGTGTTTCCTCTGAACACTTCATTTCCCTTTCTTTGGGAATCCCAGTTTCTATCCCTCGGTCATTTTGTTATTACTTCTCTAAATTCTGCCCTATTTTTTATGAGCATTTACAAAATAGGCCCCTTCCCTATTGGAGAAGAGAACACTAGAGAGAATGGGGGAGATGGTGTATGAGAAGGGAGATACCAGTTCCAAATACAGATTAGCTTTAAACATTATATGACCAAACATCATGAAATAATGAATTATCATGAAGCGATGATGGTCAAACGTCATTAAAGGCCATGAAAATCATATTGAACACAGGTGTGAACTTTCTGTAGACAGAAGCTGATAAATGTTTAGCTACTGGGTTCTCTGAAATATAAAAACCCTGATTTGTATCGTTTGACGATTTCCCATGTAATCCTCCTACCACAGCAACTTCAAGCAACCAACGTGATGTCAGCTGGCTCGCAAAATTCCTGAAAATTTTCAGGTTGCAATTTAACAACTGGCTTTCTGAGCTGGTAGTAGCAGCTCCAGTATACCACTAGCTAGCAAATAATTGTATTCTGCACACTTTGAATGCTTTCTTAACCTTTTGTTTCTTTTTTGATACTGAGAAATGATTACTTTTCAGGTGTTGATTTTACTCTGCTGTTTCTAAACAGGTAACTAATTTGAACTTTGGGGTTGAATTAAATAAATCAACAAACGGTTTCAACGAACAAAAAAATTGCTGTTTAGCTAGACTATTTTATTTTTGATACAAAAAATAATCACTTAGCTTAATTGATTTGAGATTCAAAAAATAACCAAAAAAAATGTTGCATCACTTTATGTGTAGACTCAGTCCCCTCAGTCTCTTTCCCTGGACTCATGTAGCTGGAGTATTGACTCAGATTTCCAGAAACCATTTGACACCTCAACCACTAAACTGTTTTCCAACTTCCCGTAACACACCAACCATAAACCAGGGCTGGCATTTCCTTTATGACACACTGTTGTAAAAAAGAAGACACGTATCTAAGGCAGAAATCAAAGAGTACTTGTAAAACAAAATAAAACAAAACCAACACATAAAAAACTATTAGAAGAACAATTTTAAGAGCGTTAAGCATCACCAAGCACCAAGAGGTGAGGTGCAGTAACATGCCTTAACCTCTCTGAAGCCACCTTCAATTTGATTCTTAAAGTTTCTGTAAAATAAATTGTGTTTAAATAATACATCTCCCTTCCTTCCCAGCAGTGAGATGCATCTCCTTTACCAATCTGGTTCTCGGCAGGCGGTCCAGCCTGATGAAGTATCAGCAAAATGTCAGCTCCCACGGAGACGTGCGACCGAGAGGCAACACTGAAGCAGAGACAGGCCTTTCAAAAAGCTATTGTGCAAATTCAGTTTTAAAATAGGGATGTGGTTGAGAACTGACGGCTGTGTCATTACCTAGGCGTTCATCTCCCCATCACCCGCGGGAATGGAAGGGAGTCGTAGTGCAGCGACGAAAGGGCTTTAAGTTGAGCACTGGTGGGTCCACTTGCTGCTCTTTCCCCTACGCTTATCACCTTCCACGATGTCTCACCTGGATCTTCTTAAAGAAATTAATCCTGTCGTTACTTTATAGCCCTCAATGACTACTCAGTGCCTTACAAAATTCCACAGAGACTATTAGGCACTAAAGACCCATCATCATTTTTGACGACTCTCTTCTGGATCCCACATACCCTAGTCATCCTCGCAAGCACCCTGTGCTTTTAAAATATGACGCTATTATTCATTGCTCTTCTCTTAAAGAAATGTTTCTCCCTTCATTTTGTTGTCTATTAAAATCCCTCAGGGACTTTTATTTTCCAGTCTATGCAAACAAGCAAACAAAAACACTAAATCCCTGCCTTCCATAGCGTTGCTCAGCACATTGTATTATAATTGTCTGTTTATACATGATTAAAACCGTCATTCATTGTTGTATTCCCCAGCTCTTGATTTACAAGGAATGCTCATTAAAAATTTGCCAGATTCAATTAAAGAACATTTTTGACAACTTAGTAAAGCAGTTTAGGATTAAAGTTTCATAGTAATAATGTACCAAGTAAAAAGAGACATAAGAAACAGAGTTTTTGGCACTGAAAAATACTCAGGAGCCTACACTAAACTGGAGGGAATCACCAGGGCTTTTAAGATGGCAGCAGCGGTAAGAGGAGAAGGGAAGCCGAGGTGCAAGCCAGCACCACAGCTTCTTGGTCTCTACTCCATTTCTGAAAGCACTTCTCAGAAGCTTTTTTAAGAATGTGAGTGACCACAAGGTGCAGAGTTGTTAGTTTTTATGGGCTCGGTAATTTCATATGCCAATGAGAAAGAGGATTACCCCAACTGTGTTGAGGGGGGGAGGCTTTCCAGGAAATGCCCTCCACTGCCTGCTTTTTAACCTTTTATGGTCAGCCTGGGAACCGTCATGGCGCCTGTGGGTGCGCCATGAGGCTCAGGGTCTACCGGAAGTCAAATCTTCTGCCATCTTAGTTCTAACCAGTGTGTCCTGTCCTCAGTTGCAGTGTCATTCCTTCAGTGGCTATGCCCTGCCCCCTTCCCTCCTGTCTCAAAAGGATTTGATGACCAAGAACATCCAACACTGATGATTTTTTTAAATGATTCTTTAGCTTCTTCCCAAAATTCTAGACTTACTTCTTTCTGTACTCACCTCCAATATACACAGTCCTTTCTCCTGAATATAGCAGGGCCACCTTAGAATAGTGAATAAATGTCTCTGGCTCTTGGTTTTTGTAAACAAAAGGAAGGGGTTCAACTAGATAATCGGTAATATATAGTAATATTTGCATAATAATGTATAATTCAATGTGTAGTAAGTAACACTGCATGGTAACTATAGGCATATCCCATATAGTGATAATACATTAACTCAAAGCTCATGGTAATTGAGCACCTGTTCTGTGTTCCCTGTGCTGTACTTGTCATTCATTCACTCACCTAATCCTCAGAACAACTGAGTTTGGTTCTGTTACTACCCTCGTTTTATGAATGAGGACGCTGAACCTAGGCGGAATTACGTAGCATGTCAGGAGTCATGTAGTTAGT